TCGTACACAAGGGCTCCTCCAATGATTGCACAATGAGACAACTTTTAATGAGCTGGAAATATATTTCTTTCGGATTTGAAAGGGTTTGATCTATCGAACCTGTGCTGTGATCGATCGAACATGGGTGAGATCTATCAAACTTTGGCTAGATCAATCCTCCCATGGCGGTGCCTTTTTGGATAAGGACAGATCTGAGATATTTTGGGGAAAGAGACAAAAGTGGTAGGTAGGGTGGTACAACAGGATAAGATGGAATCTTTTCGATCGATCTGAGAATTGTTGGATCGATCGAACTTTGTGGGATCTTTGGATAAGGACAAAAGAGCTTGGATCCATCTTAGAGAGTCTAGATCGATGAACTTTGGATCGATCGAAGTATTCTTGAGATCGATCGAACCTGCTGAATTTCCACACTTTGCTTCAATATGCTTCCACTTTGCTCTTTTCTTCCATCCAGCTTGAGTTAACTTCTTTTAAGCTCTTATTTGGCTGAATTAGTTTCTTTTGGGGATAAGCACCTAAACAGGGCAATAATACGAAATTAGTCTAAAAGGAAAAAGTAAGATAGATAAAGGTTCTAGAATACTTAAGCTTAAGGTGTTTAAATGCGCACTTTTCAGTGCTCATCACACCCCCAAACTTAAATATTGCTAGTCCCTAACAATGAACTACAAAGTAAAGGAATGAAATGAACAACTATACAAGTATGAACTAGAAAGCAATAAATGGATAATGCCACTTTCGTAGGAAACACGATTGCATTTAGCGTATGCAACAAGCCTTTTAAACCCCTATATTACTCCTAGTGGACGAGTGAAGTCTCATGAGGGTTTCCAGAAATGATACCCACAAACATTAAGCTCATTCTCACTAAAGAGGTACCAATATTGCATATTTGTCTCAAACTAAGTCAAAATTAGAGTTTCCTTATCATAACTCAACTTTCCTTGTTTGTAGGGCTTTAGTTATTGACCCACTGCCAAATTCCAATATTTGTTTCTAAGTTAGCAAAATATGCTATGAAGTAGTCAACTATTTGTTGCTAAAATTCAGCAACCTTCCATTTAGCTTGGCAGCCATACAATATATCCAATATAATTCCACGGATCACTTCCTTTTTTCCCCAATAATTGTCATATGGCCAATCCTCATGGTGCCATATTGAAAATATTTGTCACCTTGTCATTGGTCCACGTCATTGTTGAGATGGCTGCCAAGTTTTGGTGCCCACAAATGTCCCCCAAATTTTAAATGTCTAATCGGTCACTCAGGCTGATAAGATTTTTGGAATTTTAAAATGTATTGAAAAGAAACTGGCATCCAATGAGCTTCTAAACTTTATTTCTTCCAGACCACCTCTAAATTGGTCTTTATTTTGCGTTAGTCAGGACTGCCGATCCTGGTTCTTCCATTATTCCCATAAAGCTGGCTGATATCCCTCAAAATATTGGCCATTACCTTGATGGTCCTTACCATTGAAGTTTTCTAATTCTACTAGCAAGGCACGATCGTGATTGGCCGGGATTAGGTTGTTATATACTGTCATTTGGGCCGATCTAACTGGCTTCTCTATTGGAAGAATAACATTCTGCCAGTATGGAGCTTTTCAGATGGCTGATCCTCTTGAATTTTTATACTCCCACGGAGCTTCTGAAAACACACCATCCCATGTTTTTGAATAGTTATCTTCTTTAATGATTTCATCTATATCAGCCGAAAATACCAAGAATAGTATTTCTTTTGTGGCCGATTTTTTCTTAGCCGGGTAAACTTTCAGAATGTAAGCGGCCATGATGGCCTGACTCCTCCTTGATTCTTTATTTGGCACTTCAGCAACTGGCCGAGGAAGTTTTGTGCTTGGCCAAAATACCTTTTTGACTAACCTTTTAGAGTTAACATTAACCAAACTTCTTTTCACAGTGGCTGATGTTGGTTGTCCCATTTTAGTTGTTCTTTTGAATCTTAACATAACATGATTCTCTTTGTGTAGCACTGCATCGGCCACATAAAATTTTGCATTAAATGGTCAATTTATTTTCTTCCACGAATTTCTTTTCCACTTAACCCTTTTTAGTTTCCATCCCCACTTTCTTTTCTTGAAATTTGGTTGAGGACGATGAGCTAGAAGAATTCTCTCAACCAATGATGGTTCTGGCTGAGGATTAGATACCACTTTCGGCCAAGCATTCTGGTAATCTGGCCGATTTGATCCTGAAATTCTTTTACCTTGATGAGAAGTGAATCTCTCTTGAACACTTCTTTTAGAAAACTGAGTTTGGACTTTTATTTTATGAAAAAATATAACTTTACCTCGGTCAATAACCTTCCACTGAGGGCAGCAACTATGTTGAATGAGAGCAGATTGTGTTTCCTTCAATTGTTCTTCTAATTCTTCCACCGCTTTGGCACTTGGAGTGGCTGACGGTTTGCTCTCAGCAACCTTAGGTTGATTCCCTTCATCAACCTTCTCTTTGGGAGCCTGGCCGATCACATTACTACTTGCTATGAAAAGATCATTGTCGACTCCCATGACTTCATCATCCGCTCCCCTTTTGGCCGATACAGTAGATGTTCGAGTGCCAGATGTGGTTGATTTTGGATTTTTGTACATTGGTCGACCTATTCGCCTAAGACCATTACCATATTCTTGCTTAATAATATCAGCCACCTGATCCTTATCAACCGTTGTTGGCTGATTGGGCTGATCAATAACTGGTCGATCTTAATTTACCACTAGCGGCTGATTGGCCATCGACTGCCCCCCGAGTGTTGAAGGTTGTAGTATGGAAGCAACAGGCTGATATTCTGGCCATTCTTGTTGCAATAGATTTACCACTGGCGGTTGATTTTTCGCTAGTGGCTGATTATAATTCAACCAGCCTTGCTGTGATTGATTTACCATTAGCAGATGATTTTTCACTAATGGCTGATTATAATCCAGCCAGCCTTCTGGCTGATTAACCATCGGCTGCCCCCTGAGTCCTGGCTAATATATCATTGGCGGCTGATAATAATTCAGCTAGCCTTTTGGCTGATTAACCATCATATTGGTTGAAGCAGAACCATCGGCGGCCACGGCTGTGATGGTTGAGCAGCTGCTGTCGGCTAAATAAATTGTGACGAAATCAGCTGAGTGGTCGATTCCTAATTGCTGGAGCTCCCAACCTGAGCTGGCCTATTCATAATGGCGACTGAAAGCTGAGATATTGTTTCGTGCAGGTTGTTTTGACTTGCACTCATCCTTTCCATCGCTTCTAACAAAGAGCACACCTTTGTTTGAACCATTGATACTTTTGATGGTATAGCTAGTTTATCCACAGGGCTCAATGTAGAGCTACCAACCTAAGTTGGCTGATGTTTTTCTTCCGGATCATCGTTTCTGGCTGCAGCCTTATAGTTCTTCGGCCGTGGCATTGCATATTCTTCTAACACCAAGTGGTGTCCCACCGGGCGTGCCAAATTATGTTCGCATATTTTTTTGGCTACACAAGGCCAGTGGAGTTTGCTGGCGTGCCAGAGTTTGTATATACTCGAAATATGAATTGAACACCAACCTATCCCTTTTTAATTGGTAGCTGGCTTCAGGCAATTGTGTGGGAGAGAGAATAGTAAGAACTCCCAGCGAGATTCTTTTTCTGCCTTAATGCAAGGACTTTTTATAATAGTGTTAAAAGAATAAAAATGCAATTTAAAGTAAAGGAATTTAAATGGACTTTAAAGGAATTGGCCGAATTGAAATGATTGAAAAGTAATGTGTGCAGTGGAATGAACTGGCCGAATTGAAATGACTACAATCTGATCAAAGAATTGTCATTGAATCCGTTTGCATAAAACAATGATTAAATTGTAAATAGCTAAATTAAGCATTGTAAGAAAAACTATAAGTTACTGGAAAGTTTCTAGAATGGAATTTATCATTTGGACAAAAGATTTGAAGATAAATGACGTAGAGTCATTTGATGAATTTTGGATTCTTGCTGTTTTGTAGGTGGTGCTGGACAATTTGGAAAGATTACAAACTTTCCTATTTATAGAATTTTCTCTTAACTTATTTTCCTAATTTTTTGATAAAATATATCATTTCTTGATTTTCTCTCCTTTGTAATTCAAATTGGGTTTGATGTTGACTAGGTCTCTTTCTTCAAATGAACTTCCCCATCTCGAGCTATAATATACAGATTCTTCTCTATCGTGGCCTTCCCTTTGAATTAGTCAAATCCTTATTTGTCTCCAACTAAGTCAAAATTGGAGCTTCCTTATCATAACTCAACTTTCCTTCCTTGTTTGTAGGGCTTTAGTTATTGACCCACTACCAAATTCCAATATTTCCTTCTAAGTCAGCAAATAAACTGTGAAGTACTCAACTATTTGTTGCTAAAATTCAGCAACCTTCCATTTAGCTTGGCAGCCAAACAATATATCCAATATAATTCCAACGGTCACCTCCTTTTTCTCCAATAATTTCCATATGGCCAATCCTCATTGTGCCATATTGAAAATATTTGTCACCTTGTCATTGGTCTACGTCATCGCTAAGATGGCTGCTAAGTTTTGATGCCAACAAATATCATAAGACTTAATGCAACTCTTGACAATTTCACTTTACTTTCAGAACCATGTTGAAGCAAATTTTTGGCTATTAGTCCATTGCTGACTCTCTCTTCAAAACAAACAATCAACAAAAAAATATTCACAACAGCAATGGTATTTGTTGCTCTTCACTTTGCAACCTCATCCTTTTCTTGAATTTGGAATTCAACGAACAAATTTTTGGCTATTAGTCCATTGCTGACTCTCTCTTCAAAACAAACAATCAACAAAAAAATATTCACAACAGCAATGGTATTTGTTGCTCTTCACTTTGCGACATCATCCTTTTCTTGAATTTGGAATTCAACGAAAAGGATTCAGTGTACTCCCAAACGCAACATGAATTTCTTATGTGTGACACCCACATTCATCAACAGGAGAAAGAAAAAGAGGTGCAAAAACAAAGGGAATGTCTCTCAAATGAGCTTTTCTTTTTCACCCAATACAACTACACCAATATAGAAGAGTACATGAACAAGATTGCATCAAAGCAAATAGTGTTCTCTAATTATTCTCATCTTCCACATCAGAAACACTTCAATAGACAAAACATGGATAACATAATACACTAGGATGTGCTTCAAAAAGTTTCTAAGACGACATTACCTCCAAAATATATTATTTTCCTACACCCCTCACCTCAATTGTTCTTTAATTGGAAGGAGGGGCTTTAAATTTGCCAAAGAGGATCTTAAACTCCACGAGCTTATCGGTTTCCGGCATTACATCCTTCACAACAGCAGCAGAGCAGAACTTGTCAGCCCATTTGACCAGTCTCGGGGTTGTAGACTCGTCGAGCAATTTCATTTGGTTCATCTTCTCAGTCACTCTCAGCCACCCCAAGAAGCAACCAAATGCAATGTCAAGGTACCCTACACAGTCGCCTCCGAAGAAATCCTTGCCTTTGCTGCACTTAACAAAGGCATCCTCCAACAACACCAACTCTTCCTTCACTTGCTCTATGGCTGCTTTCTTAGCTTCCTCCCCTTGAGCCTTTCCTATGCCAGTCAATGACGGAAACCACTGTGCCACCCATGTATACAATGATTAGATTACATAGAAGACTTTATAGATCAAAAAATAAAAGCTATGTTAGGTAGGTGCCTTGGAAAAAATTCTCAAATTCCAACCCCTAGACATCAATTCGTAGCAACCGAACATAGCAAAACTGTATTCAGTCACAATCTTGTGATGCAGAAATTTTTTTCATGAAGCCATCACAAAAAGTTGTCATCCATCACATCTTGTCACACAACACAATAATTTTGTGAATTTAAAGGATACTCTATATATTAGGGTCATGTCTAGTTTCAGTCCATTTCATGCCTTTAGTCCTTTCCAATTCTAGTCATTCAATTTTAATTATTATTCCAAAAATGTCCAAACACTTTATCCCTTTATAATCTATAGATCAATTGAACTAGAACTAATTTCTATCAAAAAAAAAAAAAAGGATTCCACTTTACAAGATCAGATGAATCTCTTGTCTGATTCAAAACATGGGAATATGATGTAAGATAAGCTTAAATTTTAAAAAATTAAAAAAATTAAAAATTAAAATTCCATGAAACCCGTCCGATGAATTTCTTGTCTGATTTAAAATTAAAAATTCCATGAAACCCATAAATTTCTTATCTTGTCTGATTCAAAACATGGGAATATGATGTGAGTCAAGTTTAAATTTAAAATAAATAAATAAAAATTCCACCAAACCCATCAGATGAATTTTTTGTCTGATTCAAAATATTGATTCAAAACATGGGAATATGATGTAAGATAAACTTAAATTTTTAAAAATAATAAGATAAAGTAGAGTCACAACTCCTAAAGTTTGGCAAAAAGATATTCAGATGAAACTTACCTGTTTTTTTGGAAAAATACACCCCTGAAGGTTCAAAAATGGACAAAGACATCCCTTTACATGAAAAATTGACCAAATTACCCTTTGACCGTTTAGGAGACTTTTTTAACTTTACTATTTAATAAATTGGACCAATCTACCCTCATGAACAATTTATGCATATAAAAAAAAAAAAAAAATACTTTCACTTTTTTTTTATTTACTTTATAAATATTGTAACTTCTTAAAAATATAGACGTCTAAAATGATTTTTTTATCCAATATATATATTCCAAATAAATTATATTTTGTTATAACTTCTTTTCTTTTTCTTTTTTATTTTTAAATTAAGATGCTTAATTTTTTCATCTAAAAAAATTAAACCAATCACTTTTTTTTTTAAAATAAAAAAAAAAATAGTACCAGTATAACTTTATGCATCTTAAATTATATATCAAATATTTAGACGAAAAAAAAAATTATGTATCAAATATTATGCATTTCTCAGCATAAAAGAAAATAAGTACCAGTACAACTTTATGCATGCCTTTGTTTTCTCTTTGTTTTATTATTATTTTTTTTCCCTTTGTTTTATTATTATTTTTTCTTTTTGTTTTATTATTATTATTATTTTCCTCTTTTATGTTGGTAAATGCATAATATTTGATATATAATTTAAGATGCATAAAGTTATAGTGGTACCATATTTTTTATTTTTAAAGAAAAGAGATTGGTTTAATTTTTTTAGATGAAAGAATTAAGCATCCTCATTTAAAAATAAAAAAAGAAAAAAAATAATAATAACAAAATATAATTTACTTGTATTAGATCAAAAAATCATTTTACACGTCTATCTTTTTAAGAAGTTGGGATAATTTATTAAATTGTAAAGTTAAAAAAGTCCGCTAAATAATCAAAGGATAATTTTGTTAATTTCTCATATAAGGGGACAGGTAAATTTTCTCTTGATTTCCTTTTACCAAACCTCGTGCTTTGACAACTGTACTTTACCCAAAATAATAATAATAAAAAATTTGAAAAAATTCCATGAAACTCATCAAATGAATTTCTTGTCTGATTCAGAACATGGGTTCTTCTTCTCAATTCACTACATTATATGATATTATGATGTAAGATAAGCTTAAATTAACAAAATTTCCATGAAACCCATCATTAATCATCAAAAGAAAAAAAACACACACACAATACCTTATCATCGACGTAAGCAGCCCAAAAGCGAGCTATGGCGCGATCATAGGGATCGGAAGGAAGGATGGAGGGACCAGAGGACCAGTACTCGTCGATGTACTGGACAATGACGAGTGATTCGCAGATTGGCTTGTCGGCATGAATGAGAACTGGGATTTTCTTGAGAACAGGGTTGGATTTGAGAAGAAGCTCACTTTTTGTGCCGAATTGCTCGGCACAAAACTCGTAGTCCACCGACTTTATGTTGAGGGCGATTTGAACCCGATTCACATACGGACTCGGCCATGCACCGACCAGTTTCACCTCACTATTCGCCATGATCACAGCACTACTCAAGAATCAAGCAAAAGCAAATAAAGAGTGAAGTGGTTTTAATAATGGGTGTGTGCGTGTATAAATAAGTGACGAAAAGTAGTACAGTACTATAAAATGAATTAAACCTGTGTTTGGTATACACTAGAAAAGAAAATAAAGGAAATGAGAGAAGAGAATAGCATTAAGTGGTTGCCGTGTAATTAGTTGATTAATAAAAGAAAATAAATAAAATAATAGGTTAAGTACAAAAAACACCTATCAAGTATATTTACAGTGCATATCACATCTCTTCAGTGCAAAAAAATACCCCATAAGTTTCAATTTTGTGCAATCAAGTCCCTCTGAAACAATTAAAACTAAACTTGACTAAAGTACCCTTAGTCAATAATTTTATAAAATATATAAAAATACAAAATTTTGTAAAAAAGACCAAAAAGGACAATAAACTGTGGCGTTGATGGGGGAGACGGTGGTGGAGGCGACCGTGAACTCAGGGTATGTCATGAGTGCAACTGCTAACTTTTTTTTGTTTATGTTTTCCGTTTGCTCTTTCTGCAATATTAATTTGCTCTCTCTCTCTTTTTGCTTCTCTTAAATAGGGTGAAGGTGAAGCTAACAATTCCGACAGTGGAACTCTCATCCCCCCACACACTAATGTTGCTACTTTACCCAAAAATCAGTTTTAGTTGCCCAGCAGTGAGTTTAAAGTTGCCACAAAGAGGCAATCCACACTAGTTTGCTCTGGCATCATTCAAATTATAGAAGGTTCTTTAGTAATTTCGTTCGGTTTGTCTTGTTAATTGTATAGATACAACTTCATCAGAGATTCAAACCCGCCGTTTCCACTTCCGTGACCAGCCCGATCGCTGTCTTCGGCGAGAGCCAGAAACCCCATCATCGGAAACACCGGTGAACAATAACGATGCAGGGAACTTGGAACAAAGGTGCAGTGGCGATTACAGAAAGGATCGGCTCGACCATGTGTCGCGGCACCGGCGGGTAAGGAGAAGCTCGGCTGTGAGTGTAATGTCACCGATTTTCCTTATTTTTTATTTTCGGGAATTTATTTGATTTTTCTGGATTATTTCAATCCTTACCTCGTTTTGTATGCCACGCAGACCCCAAGGGACGTTTTGGTCATTTTTTTGAGCTGGGGGTTTTAGAAGTGTATTTTTAATCATTTTAAGTCAATTAGAAGTGACGATATTATTTTTAGAATTTTTCAGAAGTTGGGACGATTTTCGGACTCGGTAACTTCTCCTGATTTTGTCATTTTAAGAAAAGGGCATAATGGACTTTTCTCATATATATGTATACATATATATATGTATACATCTATATCTATATATTAGAGGTAGATATTTTTGGGGTAAGAATGGCATTTCATTGAAAGATGAGGGGCATTATAGTAACTTAGCTTGAATTAGAAATCATTCAAATTGTGACACTTGGCACATTATGGACCAAAGCTTCAAAGTTTTGCAAAGCCATCACTTTCCTCCTCCTCCTCATTTCGTGTTTCACTCCTCTCTCTCTATCACTTTCTCCTTCTCTCTCTATATTCATACACATAAACACATATATAACTTCCATGAAAAAATAAATAAATAAATAAATAAAAATAAATTAAAAAAAAAAAAATTTGAAGGAGAGGAAGAAGGGAGGTTGAAGAGCTTGGCATGAGCTTTTATTAGAGACCAATGGTGCAAGGGTTTGGAGAATTTTGAAATTGGGGTTTTTCTTCTATTTGAGGTATAGTTTGTCTAATTGTCAAATTCCTTAGTTGTGGTAGCTAATTAGATTTTTTCTCCCTCTCTAGCTTGTCAATTTAAAGTAAAAAAGCATGATTTAATTTTAGGGTTTTTGGTTTGCACATGAATTTGTGAATTGAGGTGTTTTAAGTGATCAGGTGTTTATCTTATGTTTAAATTGTAAGTGACATGTTGTTAAGCTTCTATAAAATGATTTATTTATTTCCTCTCATGTGATTATTGTGATATTTTTTATTACGTATATGATAGAGAATAATTGAATGTTGTAGTATGCAAAAATTATCAAATTATCTTATTGAGGCCTTAGAAATGTCAATTGTATTATGAAAGCATGATAATAATTGAATAATTGAATTTAGACGTTTCTATATGCATGGCATAATGTTGTTCTTGGGTATGAGGGTGGTGTGGATGTGGTGGAGGGGTATGTGAGGGCATGGATGTGGTGGATGGATGCATTGAGCATTTTATACAATTTATTGCATATGAATAGAAATGATGGTTATGGAAATCGAAAGTGTTGCATGTGAACCCTTGCATGATCCCCCACTCTTTTTCCTAATCATTGTTTGTAAGGTATGTAATTACTTACCTTGCTTAAGGATATGCTACTTAGGCATTCTCTACTGGGCTTTGTGCTCACTTCTCTACTTTTTTTTTTTTTCAGGAATTCGGAAATGAGCCGGTGAATGATGTACATCTATGTATATTGATGTAGTTAGGAATTCATTTCATTTTATTTATATTAAAACTATGTAATTTTGGTCATGGAGATCTCATTCCTTATAATTGATTCTTTTGAAATTGTATAAAATGAGGTTTGTGTAATTCGGTCTTTAAACGATGTATTGGACTTGCATTCAATTTAATTGAAGGTACGAGAATTTAATTATGTTTCATACACTGTCAATTCCATGTTTGGGAATAGGATTAGACTTTAATAAGATCACCAATGGACCTAGGGAGTATCCATATGTATGTGTTTCAATATTTAGGCCTTTCTGGGTTTTAAGTTATATTTCCAATGAGACCAACCTCATTTTCAAATTTCATTCATGTTGAGAGTTATGATTATTTTAGTGAAATAGTGTCGGAATTTCCCTTGAACCGAGTAAGGATACTTTTGGGAATTCATAACCGATGACCATAGAACCTCACCGAGTATCATGGAATGACTAGAATGATTGTTTTAAACCTTATTTGATTAGTTTATGGATGGATTAACCTTTCATAATGTAAAATGACCATTTTACCCCTAGTGTGTCCTCGGGTTTGGTTAAGGACCCGGTTAGCAATTCGGACCCCCGGTTCGGGTCGTTACAAAATTGGTATTAGAGCTTTAGACTTGAAAACCTAAGGACGACGGGTAGGGTTGACCTAGAAGAGTTAGAATTGGGTTTGACGGCATTACGTGCTTACGTGGTTATTACTTTTTGGTTCAAAAACATAACTTATTGCTATATGTTTATGTGCTTTGATGTTACTATGTTTAATATATGTCTATGTGTTTATTACTCGTTAAGTTCATTAATTGTCAAATGTAAAAGCATGATCAACTGTTTAATGTGAAATGTATATGTGCAACTCCTTATATGATTAAATTTGTTTAAAGCATGCTTGATTTGCTACGTAGTTAATTGTTAATTGTCTACTGTTAATGAAAACATGCTTGATTGACTAAATATCTAATGGCTAAGTGTTTACTATCTATAAAAGCATGAATTATATGGCATGATGACATTTATTCGAGCACGATAGATATGATCTTGTTTTAGGATGTAGTTGCACGCTTAGGTTTATGTTGTGGTCGTTCATCCACTAGGGAATGGATGTTTGTGTGACTAGCTTATTTCGTTGTTGATGAGTTTGAGGTTTTGTGGTAGTGTTGTGTTAGGTTAAGAAAGGTCTTGACTTACGTATATGAGAAGCTTAATCATTCCTATGTCTCTAAATGTTTTAGTTCTTATCGAACGGATAATGTGATCACCGTAGCTCGTGGATTGAGCTACTTCATGTATCCTTGTTTTGATCATTTAGTTGCTTTGTAGTACCGTGCTTAAAGACTACGTGAAGTGATGGATCCGAATGAAGTTAGGGAGTGAGCAGGTGAAGGGGCATTCTAGCCGAATAGGGTTTCACTAGGACAGGGCCGAGTTAGAGAGGTGGATGATAATCCACAAGTACCGGTGAACGATATCTTATTAGCAACGATCGTAGCCTCAGCCTTTCAGAATTTACCGAGTGCTACAACTGCTCAAGTGGTACCACGACTGGCTATTCAACCACAGGAGATAGAGATGGAGCAGAATCTTAAGTTCTGATTCAGTTTGACAAACTCATGAAAGTAGCATTTAAGGGAGGTCCAAACCCGTTAGTTGCTAACGACTAGTTTGATGAAGTTGAAAAGTATTTCAGGGCAATAGCCGTACTCGATGATCGGTTAAATATCACCTTAGCCACGTATAAATTTGTTAGCAATGCGGTAGTATGGTGGAGACCATGATTAGCGTGCATGATATTGATAATATTAGTTGGGATGCATTCAAGAGTCTTTTCTTTGATAAGTATTTCCCGCAGACCAAGAAATGGGAATTGAGGACGCAGTTTGATAGTCTCAAGCAAGGTGACATGTCAATGATGGAGTATGAGAACAAGTTCACTTCTCTTTCACGTTTCGCTATGGATGTGTTAGGGAACGAGGAAGAGAAGGCATGGCGTTTTGTGTACGGCCTAAATTGTTCTATTAAGCCGGGGGTGACACTTTTGGGATTATAAAGTTATTCAGAAGCAGTTATGAGAGCACTGATGGTAGAGGTAGAAACCAAAGATTGGTAAGAAATGAGTGGCACTGTGGGTTCTTAGAAACGAGGTACAAGTATGGGTACTTCTTTCGGGAGCCAGGACGGGAAAAGGCACAAAGGTGCTTCATTACTTTCTCAGGAGTAGCGGACAGCATATGCTACTCCTACTGTTGGTGGGTCTTCAGGGTTCTCTAGGGCGAGTGTGATGTGTTACCATTGTAGACAGCCAGGACATCGCAAGGCGGAGTGTCCTCTTAATAGACCTAGTTCCGGAGTTTATTTTTAGTGTGGTCAAGCGGGCTACATGAAGAGGGACTGTCCACAGAAAAGATGAGACATTACTGTGATTGATTCTTGTGTAACGGGGGATACCTGTGAGATTGGGTAGATGCCTATGCACAGTTGTGCTTGATGTAATGGGGGCTACCTATGAGTTTTGTAATAGGAGATACCTGTGAGTCGTGTCGGTTGTAACGGGGGACACCTGTGAGCTGACTTGTGTTGTAACAGGAGATACCTGTGA